TGTCTTACTTTCATAATTTCCACACAGTTCGAAACATATCAGTTATACGTAGATGGATTGCAGTATTGCTAGCCCGCCGATGCTTAGTGGTTAGCATGCTGGGTTACGGGATACAAGGTCCAGGATTCGCGATACGTAGCTGCTGAACTCTCACTGAAGTTTCACCTTTGGGTACGTTATAAGGTTAACGGGTATTTCTGCTATTCGGACAAAGCCTTCATGGTAGCAAGTGTTACTTACTGTTTGTCTTCTCTTTGGCCAGCAGCTCAAATTTAGTAACGGTTATGCCTAAAACTTGGTTACTCTGATTTGGCCGATAAGTCCACGTGTCGGATAAAATACCTTTCATAATGAAAATTTACCATACTATGAAATACGTTCCGCTACCACTAGTAACGTGATGAGGGCAGGATCTCTTTAACAAAGAAATGGGGGACTTTTCAAACATCTTAAGGCAGGACCTTTAGTTTTGGGAGGGGGGCGTTAGGGGAGATTTTGATGGCTGTGGATTGCTTCTGGTGCACATAAAATAGAAAGCCACGAGAGGCAAACAGTTATTTTTATATTCTTATTCAGTAGGTTTTATAAACACTTTTAAGATCTAAAATTAAACAGCGAATTCTTGCGTAATAACACTTAATAGCATATCCCAGTTATTTTTTTACTGTCCCTGTGTCAGCGTAATAACACTTAATAGCATATCCCAGTTATTTTTTTACTGTCCCTGTGTGTCATTCATTTTAAAGTTGGAATTCTTTTTTCCTAACTCGTAGCAATCAAGGTGTGGAACCAGACGTGTGTTTCAGTAGTTGTGGAAAATGTTTTTATAACTGAGAAAAAGGGCGCTTTTGAGACATACGAGGGGGGAAAGCAGGGGATTGAGATCACCCAGCCACCCCTATGCACGTCACTGGCAACCACAGTAGTTGCACTCCATCATGTGTTTTTATGTATATTGGGATTACAGTTCGATATCAAGTTGCCGTCGTTATTAAATTTATATTCAGTTATAAGCTTATCTGTTGAACGTGTCATAAAAATAACTAACTGTGAGCCATACGAAATGCACCATTTCAGACGAATAATCATACGAAAT